GAGACACTCGGCTTCCTCAGTCACGGCTGCTGCTTCTTTTCTTGCCTCCTCCACCACTGCCTCATTCCACTTGCTAAAAGACGGAGCAGACACAGAACACATTCACTGCATGAATGAGACAAGAAGCTCTTCCTCCTCCAAAGGGCGGAGGTTAAGATGGCACCGAGGGCAAAGCAAAGTCCTACTAATCCTCAAGTCAGCACAGAGGACACGGAGTCAAAATCAATATAGTTTGAAGTCAATAAGCCGCCAAAGAAAGTATATCATCCGGGAGAATGCCAGCTCAATATCATTTCCAAGATTATACACCACAGAGATGTCCGATCCAGTCTCAAGAGTCCGAAGCGTAGTTGGCAATGTTCAAGCAGAGATGGAAATGTCCAGCAGTGCTAAGCTGGACAGGTTCCTTCCCAGAGCCCAACTGGAAGCCCTTTAGCATAAAGTCTCCCCAAGGGACTGCTTTTCAAGGAGATCCCTGTTCAGTGGGAAACATCAGCTCATGGGGGAGACATCTGTAGATGAACATATTGCTGTCCCAACCCAAGAATAAGGACGCAAGACAAAGATATGGGTTCAATATGGGCCACTTTATTGATAACATCAAATACGAAATGGCAATCCTTTGCTCAAAAGAGGGGGCCTGCTATAGTGCGGAAACAGGTGAAAGGAAGGGGTATGCCGATACCCCTTGATCAATAAATGGGCGAGTCCCTGGCCCCAAGTTCCAGTGGTCTCCAGACAACAGGAACCCGGCCAGCTGCTAATAAACACCCCCAGACCTCAAGCCATCTTTCGCTGATGACTGTTGGTCCAGAAGTGGCCCAACGCATCCTCCTGCCACAGACACTGTAATTGCACGATCCACAGTGCTAGGAAGTTGGATGCGCTGTTGGTTTACCAGATATTACAGCTGGGACACATCAAAAATACCTGTTATTTCCGCACTACCCGCCTGTTGTGACCAAACATTTACCCACCAAAATGCCAACAACCCTCATCCAAGTGTGGGTTAGGTGAAAAATCCTCCCATCCAAAAGCCAATCAGGATGAAGCTCAAAAATTCCTATCTGTCCCCTAAAAGGTGACCAGAAAGAAATCACACTAGAAAAAGGGTGGACAGGTGGGAGCCCAAAAAAGAAGAGGGCAATGCGAGGGGAGAAAGCCCTTTAAATACCCAAGGCTTTCCCACTCTTCACACAATTCTTGAGAGACTGTGAAAACAGTCTTGCTCTATCCCAGATGGAGAGCAAGGATCGATCGCGATGGCAAAAAGCGATGCCTTGCCTGTGATCGCTCTATTGCTGGGTCACACCTAGTCTTCCTTGTGCCCTTATTTGGCAATACCCTCTTGGTCTGAGAGGGCATCCTGCCATCTTCCCTGAGTCTAGATGGGGATTATTTGATGAGATAATTCAGTGAACCATTCTTTGGGCCCAAGCTGTTCAAGGGTAGTCAACACCACAACATCATTAAACCCTGGCAGCCCTAGACGCTCCTCTGAAAAAGATCCCTGTGGCACTTCAGATACAATTTCCATCCATAAAACAATGGGATGTGCAGGTGTCATCAAGAGAATGTAGAAGGAGAGGATTTATTCTTGAATATACGATTTGAAAATGTCGGTATTTTCCCAGGATGTTACTGCTTTGGTAGACCTATTCAGTTACTTTTTCTTGCCTGTCACAGCTAAATGTGCACAGCAGTTTGTAAGCAAAAGCTGCTAGCAGGGCTACAAAATTAAATTTCTTGAAATTGCATAGGAATTGAGATCTCTGGGGTCCTGTAATGGTGAAAGCCATTTCCTTTCATATTTTAATGATCAAAACTAGCAACAACCTTCTGTTTATGCTGTTGTGGTTTCTGATGAAATAATTACATCAGAAGAAAACAGGGGCTTTTTTCTCCCCCAGCATGCACAAATTAAGGGGGAAAGAATATTTGATTTTCTTCCCTGCAATAAGGGAATGAAAGGCCATTGCTCCCCAAAAAGTGTCATTCCAGAAAGATCCATGTTCAGAATACATCTTACATCCCTTAATGAGAATAAAATATGTGGGTGGCTGAGTGAGTGTATCATTCACAGCTCTGATTTCCTGTTGGGAAAGAAAATATCATCTTAGAACATAGTTTAAAACATATTGTAATGCCCTACATAGACTTGAGCCACATGCTGTAATCCTGTTGTGTTCTGTAAGACCAAAGAAGCAATAGCCGGTTTCTCTCCATCTACCTTATTTAGCATTTCACTTTTTAAAAAGCCCTTTGACAGCACATGTTTCCTCAGAAATACCGTATTTTTCTGTGTATAAGACGTCCCCATGTATAAGACACCCCCCTCCCACTTTTCTAACCCAAAATTAAGAAATCTAAGTGGGGCTTAGCAAGTGGAGGGGAAATCAGAGATCAAAGTCCTGCAGGATCACTTTGATCCCTGCTTTCCCCTCCACTTATTTTTGTTCTTTCCTCAGCTTACTTCCATGTATAAGATGATCTTCAATTTTTAGTCTAAAGATTTCAGACAAAAGTATAGTCTTATACATGGAAAAATATGGTATGTTCTATTTCATACAGAAGGGCTTGTTTCTAAGTAAGCATAAATGGGACTGCACTGTAAGGTTCTCTGGCAATCAGCTATGTATGAGAAATTAAAGTAAATTTTTATTGACAGATTGGTCCCTAAGACTGTGGCTCAATTGATAGTTACAGTATGTAGCAGGAAATGGAGAGTATGGATGTATCAGACAGCCCTTTTAATCAGTGGGCAGTAGCCAAAATATACTGACATGATCAATACTAAAGAAAATCTCTGGCTGTCCAAAGGGAAAATCATTGAATTTTAGGGCTTTGCAGACACTTCTGTATCCTTGCCTAGCATTTGGATGAAGCCAGAAGCAAAAATTAAAAGCCAAACTAAATATAACATTAGCCATCTCGCCACACAAGGTTTTGCTATTGTTTTTTAATAGAAATTGCAACAGATGGGAAATTATTGTTGACAGCCTCAGAACCATCACTGGGGTTGACATGCAACCCTTTACCTCTATCAGTTTTGAGAAACACCCCTCTTCTGAAACTAGTGTCTGCTGGAAAGATTCCCCTATTAAAGCCCATTGTTTAACTGGCCACTAGAAGGCAGCCAAAATTATGATATATACAGTATAGGGTTTTTATATCCATGCTTTCTGGCATCTGCAGGGGGAGGACCTTGGAACCTATATCCTGCAGATACTACGGTCCAACTGTATTTGGAGTACATGAGAAAACAACAAACCTTCAGTGGCCTTAGATTCACAGAGTGATCTTAAGTTCATGCCTTTATCCTATTCTGGAATGAGGGGAACCTAAGTGGTGGTGCACTCACTTTTCACACAGAAGATCCCCGTTTCAGCTACTCAGGAAGAAAGCAACTTCTATCTCTCCTATGGAAAATAAGGATATGGTGCAAGTGTGTTTGTTTAGTGTGTTGAAAGGGAGAAAGGGAAAGCACTTGTTAATAAGGCTATTTATCACAGCCGAGAACAATCAGGGATATCCTGCCCCCTCCTCACAGCATGACCTTGGACACACTCAAGACCTGGGAAAAACCAGACAACCATCTTTCCCATAAAATAATGACACGCAATGTATTAATGTAAGCAGTTTCAAACAGCATCTCGCAGGGTTTTATTCAGTATAAAATAGCAGTATTGTATTAGCATGAGGAGCCACAAAATGCTTAGCAAACTTCTTTCTGGGTAGTCAGAGGTTTCTATTGCAAACTTGCTACCCTCCAGATGTACTGGACTGCAACTCCTATCTCCGCCCCTGATGCCACTGGACATGCAGATGGGGGGTAGGTGATGAAATCTCATACCTCTGTTCAGCACTAGGCTGGGAAAGGCTGTTCTAATGCATTAGGGAAGGCAATATACAACTGAAACATGACAGTTTCCCAAGAGGGGAAAAAGCTGAGAGTGTTAAGGACTGCATAGCTACCTTTAAAATAAAAGGTGTACCAACAGCTGAATATTACATGAGATGCATAAAACAGAATTTCTTTCCTACAGCCTCAAGCTCAGCTATTTCATTCAGGCTATCCAAATTTCAGTGAAAGAACATGAAAAAACTCCCTTGCTTCTCCCTACAAGCAGCACAGAAGGCTTCTCAACACTAAACAACTCTTAGGCTTTCCCCTCCAGTTAGTAACACAGGCTGCAGGACCGCACAGCACAATGATAGAGACATTAATACTTGAGCATCAATGCAGCTCCAAGGAGGCTATATTTTAAGTGCAAATACTGGTTTGTGGCTTTAATCTGAAGACAGGACTTGTTTTGGGCTACTGTTAGCCACCTGACTTATTTTAAGGTGAAAATGCCTTTGAATTTTATGGGATCAGGAAGTATTCTTCACTTGGTCCTTCATCTGCCACCATCCCTTCCAACTGAAAAAAAATGCAAGTTTGGGTCTTGACTCTGCATTGAGGCTTTGAAACCAAAGGCATCCAAAAGTACTCATTCCCCCTTTCCTTTCTCCTCTTCCGTCTCCTCCAAGGCACTTCTGGACTTGCACAGTTCATGCTCTTTGGCTACTAGGTCAGTAAGAACATACAAAGTTCTTCACTCTTCCTCTTTTGTGTTACTGGTTTCACATTCCTGCTTTTTTTCTGCTGCTTGATCAGGGGACTTTGCAGAACTTTCGTCATATGCAGACAGACGACTTCGACTCCGAGCTCCAGGCTGATATAGCTGCATGGCTGGACGATCCTGAAACAAGAAGGATCCATATCAGTTGTGAGGCTCCTGTTTCGAGTTAAGCCTGCTTTGGACAGATTAGGGGTCATCTGTGGACCAGAAAAACTGGGTTTCCAAAAGCCCAGATGGAAAACTGGTCCAGCTACACCTACAGGGAAACCCTGAGTCAGCTTTCATAAAAATAAAAAAATGAGATGCACCTATTGGCATAAATCCTGAAAGCCTTAGGAAAAAAGTGCAGCATAAGTATTGGTACTAAATAAGCAAAGCAACAATTCCTACAGCCAACAGCAGTCTTCTGTGATCATGTCAAGAAGTCCACTCTAGCTAAAACAACTTCATTTGTAATAAAATGGATTGAAAATGCCTTCATGGTGATACTTCTACATCTATAATGAACAAATGACTACATACCACACCTGACAAGGTGAGAAAACATATTACAGAACTGGTACCTTGTTTCTAATGCGATCCCTCTTGGTTGTATCATCTTTTTTATCTTCTTTGGTTACTTTCTCAGGTTTCTCGGTATTGCCCATGTAGTCCGCTAATTCAGCTCTCTTTCCTTTCTCACGCAAGGAGTCTCTGTCCTTCTTCACATCTTCCTCCTTCCTCCTGAAAACCTTCTCTTTCTCAAAACGCTCCTTTTGTCTCCGACGTTCTTCTTCTTGGCGTCGAAATTTATCTCTGTCTCGCTGGATTCTCTCATATTCTCTGTCTCGGTCATATTCTCTCTCTCTCTCCCTGTAATCTTTTCCACAGTCATCTTCTAATCTGTGGGACAGAGATTTAGAGATTTGTTTTAAGAACAAAGCAGCTTAATAAACTAAACATCTTGGCATATTTGCATAAGATATAAATAGAATACTACAAACTGAACACAAAGTAAAGCCATAGCTAAAGACAGAACAAAGGCCTTTATAATTTATATGGGATTATGAATCAGAATATCTGAAGGCTTTCAGATGTCACATGGCAACAAACAGAACATAAATTCAGCAGACAGCTTCAGTCACTTTCAGTGACCCAACTGCAAAACACATGCCATTTCAAAACTGAAGGAAGACCAAAGGATGAATCTTCTTATGACCTTCGTCATACAGGTTAAGCAGATTCAGCCTGCACAGCTTTAAACCAAAATGGTAAGCAAGCGTGATTTAGAAATGGGCCTGGGATAAGGCAGCCTTATGAAATCAAACTTTTCTGAGAAACAAGGATAGGTATTGCAAAGAGAATACAAACCTTTTGGCTTTCTCCTCTTTCATTTCCCCATCGCAGAGCTTGGCTGACACACTGCTGACCGAGCTGGCACCCTTTTCTTCCCTCACACACTCTTTCTCCAGTTTCTTGGCCTTGTCCTTTTTTTCGAAGTCTCTTTCATCTTTTTCTGGCTTCTTAAGTAGCTAGGAAGAAGGCCAATTTAGTTTTCCATACTAAATGAATCCTAATGCTATGCTATGCACCGGCCTACTAAAAAGAGAGGAGACTGGTAGGCAATACTCTAATGGGAATATATTTAAAATTAACAAATGATTTTCAAATAAGTGTCACTTAAAGCAAACTTCTTTGCTTTAAATGACTGACAATGCAATTTGATGTATGTATCAGTGACATTTCTTCCTAGATAAGGGTGTACAAGACTGCACCCTTGTTCTTTTTTCCTTCCTCTAACTCTCAAGCAATTGCCACAGCCAAAGGGGAGGGCGCATAAAGATTATGCTGCCTCGTCTTACCAAAACTGTCATCGACTAATTTTTTTTTTATTTATACAGTGCTATCAAAACACACTGCTGCCTAAGGAGTAATACGTTAATCTATAATACATGCAAAAGAAGGGTTCATGCCTGGAGCACAGAGTCTAAATTCAGACAGGGAAGAGAAGGGCAAAGAAGTGGAAGTACAAAGGAAGGAACCCAAGCAAAGGTGCTCAAGACGATCAGGTTGGAGGCGCTTCTGAACTCCTGGTTTCTAGAAAGAGGGTTGCATTCTAGGATCTCTATATGAGGTTTTTATGCTGTGAGGCATACAGCACCATGCTATACATTCTTCCTCAGAAGCAAGCCTCATGGGAGTCAGTGGAACATATTCCCAAACCTAACCCATATACAAAATACATTGTTTGCCTTGGTGTAATATTCAAAAGAATGCATGAGAACTGAGAAGGCAAACATAAATGGCCAACGCATCCTCTAAGAACAAAGTGATACCTTAATCTTTGGTTCATCCTTTGATCTGTCCCTTTCTTTTTCTGGACACCTCTCCACTTTTTTTGTTTTTTCAGCTTCTTTTCTCTTCCTTCTTTCTTCTTCTTTCCATTTCCTCCTTTCTTCCTCCCTTTGTCTTTTCCTCTCTAGTTCTCTCCTCCTTCTCTCCTCTCGTTTCTCTTCTCTAAGTCTCTGTAACAAATATATATATAGTAAATAAGAACTTGTTCCTCCAAGCTCTGTATTAAGAAAGCTTTCTACTCAGAGGCTTTTTAATCACAAAATATTTTCATGTTAATTGAACGAAGCATTAGGGGGAAAACCCATTGCTAAACTGAGAAAAGTTATTAGCACATAAATATATATAGCAAGATTTGACCACCATAACTGTAAGCGCTACCATCATGAAAATGACAACCGGGATAATTCAGAGCTAATAACTAGGATGCAGATGAGAATAATGATCCTTTTAAAACATGTGCTAATCTTTGATTCTCCCCATCCCAAAGAAAACAGCTCTGAAACAGGATCTGAAAGCCAAGTACCATGTCACTTAATTACTGTTACGCAGGCAAGTTTTTACTGCACACCACAAATAAAAATATGCATACATCCAACTTAGACTTAACAAAACATTGGAAGAATTGTTACCTGCTTGTTCTTCAAGAAGTTCAGCAGAGGAGTTGTTTTCTTTGCTAGCAATTAAAAAAGAGAGGGTTTGACTAAAAATATTTGAAATATTTTTAAAACCCTAATATTAAGAAAAATACATAAGAGTAGACTTCGGTCTAGATGGGTTGGGTATAAACTTAGTAAATATTTGTTTCATCAGCCTAACAGGAGGAGAACAACATCTGCCTACACACTCATAAGGTAATATAATATTTTAATTGGGTGCAACTGTTAAAATAGCGATGTCCATGCATATTCTCCCCACCTCCGAGCCCTAAAGGAAACTTGTTTTCCAAAATACAGGCAATGGAATACAGGCAGGAGGCTTATGCAAAGAGATGGGCTGGCTCTGTTTGAATACTGAGTTGGGCCTGGCAACTTTTGCTCTTAATTTTCAGGACATTCACTTTTATATATAATTTCCACTACTCACAAGTTACTGGTGTATGTCTGAAAAAATGGATTTTTATTCCATGAAAGCTTGCATTAATTGTTTGATTTTTAGTGGTCTAATATTCTTCTTGATTTGTATTGTATAATGACCACACAGTTTGGTTTGGATTTCTTTTTTGAAAGAGAATTACATATTCACAGACACAATCTAATTTCTCGCTGTTTTAGACAGATTAAAAAATGCTTCCCTCCACCTTATACTTAATTAGGTAAAGTTCTTCATTAGTAGAGCCATGTAATCCATTTCAGCACACACTCACTTATAGATTCATCCAGATTCAGAGAACAAGCAAAACATGCACAACATTTTGTTGCAAGTTTTAAAAACTTCCTCCATGGTGAAAACAACTGTGATGGTCGAAAAGGCCATTTTAAAATTATACCAGAGTAAGCCCATTTGAATCAATGGAACTTACACAGGATCCGGCTATCTAAATTCTGATTCAATGGGCCTACTCCAGTGCAATTTACTACACTAAGCAACAAATTCAGCCAATATCTTGGATGTATTTGCACAGCCGCCTACTAAGCTATTTTGTCAGAGGCTAATATATTTTGTTGTTCTATCTCTTTTCTGATAATGACTGTTTCTGAGAACAAGCCACGGTTACGTCTTCTTCATTCTTCTCTGCATATTTATCTGTCATGGAACATAGCTCGAGTTGTTTAACTTAGCTCCAACTGGAGATTCGGATGGCTACCTGTCAGGATCATTTAGTTGTGAATTTCCTTTACCAGCAGGGAGCTGGACTTGACGATCAATAGGGTTCTTCCATGCTCTACAGTTTTTGTTTTTTTTGCTTCTGAGAGAGTTTAAGATTCGGATGGCTACCTGTCAGGATCATTTAGTTGTGAATTTCCTTTACCAGCAGGGAGCTGGACTTGACGATCAATAGGGTTCTTCCATGCTCTACAGTTTTTGTTTTTGCTTCTGAGAGAGTTTAAACTAAGTAACAGCAGCAAAGAAGGCTGTTCCTTCATAGTTTTGAATAGTTGACATATATGCTGCTGCTATCCCTTGAATTAAAAAGCATTAAACCATTCAGAAAACACAAGCATTTTAATAGTAGAAAGAAACAAAAGTATATTCAGAGACACAGATCAATAGAGTTCCTACCTATTAATTCTTTGTTTCTTGCCTCTATTTCCTCTAGTAACGTCTCAGGAGTAGATGTTAATTTTTCATCATCAGCACTATAGCTTTCCAAGAATTTCTTGTACTCCGGATCTGGTGAAGAATCAGGATATAAACATACATACACTTAATCTAATTTCTCTCTGTTTTAGACAGATTAAAAAAATGCTTTCCCCGGCCTTATACTTAATTAGGTAAAGTTCTTCATTAGTAGAGCCATGTAATCCATTTCAGCACACACTCACTTATAAATGGATTCATCCATATTATGGACTGTCTTGAGCATGTACAAAGTCCTCCACCAAATTGTAATTCTTCGCTAACTGAATTACAAATCTCTGCACAAGGTAAGCCTCGTGGTGTGCCATTTGTGTTTCACTTTGATCCCTGCCCCCTTCCCAGAATTCTATAAGAATTTCTAGGCAGAAGTCTGACAGTCGACACCTACAGATAGCTTACACATCACTCTCCTGGAACAGGGCTTACTCTCCAGGCTATCTCAAGCCTGCTTTCTGTATAAAAAGGAAAACATCCCAGGCTTCCTGGGAGGCCTAGGACTTTACGGGAGATATACATCTTTACCCATATCCTCTAAAAAGCATCGCAGATAGTAGGAATAACATGCAGGTGTGCACAGGTTTGTGTCTGTGGGCAGGAACTCCCAAAATTCTGCCTGATAAATGCTCAGAGAATTCTGGTAAAAGGAATTTAACAAAACCAACTCAAAGCACAAATGGCAAACCCTACTAAGTACCTCTTAATAAGCAATGCTTAATATCTGAGTAAACTCTCTTAAGTATTGTCCTGTGTCTACAACTAACGCTATTTGTAAATGTAATTTTAGCTCCACAGTCCTGCATATGTTCACCAGGAAGAAGGAATAGGCAAGCTGCTTAATCATAAGGCATGTCTATCTATAGCTATCATTTGTGACATTCACTGTTGCCTCCCATACTGGGGCAGCCATATTTTTTCAATTTTGCTTACCCCATTGCTGCCACCATCTGCTGTCTTAATGCTACATAGTTGGTTTATGGTGCAGTGGTTCCTAAACTTTTTCAACTCACAACTCCCTTGACTTACAGGCTGTGGCTCCCCTTGCTTGGAGGGGCCATCAGCAGCAGGTGAAGTTCTGCATGCCTCAGGCAGCTTTCTTGGTTAAGGTGGAGCCTCCTGGAGTTCTCCCACTGGTGGCAGGGGACAAAGTTCATCCTCCTTGGGGTCGCTTCCAGCCACGGCACCTTGCAAGGAGGCAGAGCCAGAAAGGGCAGCTCTCACTCCTACCTGTCGTCACCCCATGTGGCTCAGGCCCTTCACCTGCTGCACAAGGCAAGTGGAGGGATGTGGGATAGCTATCATTTGTGACATTCACTGTTGCCCATACTAGGGCAGCCATATTTTTTCAATTTTGCTTACCCCATTACTGCCACCATCTGCCGTCTTAATGCTAGTTGGTTAATGGTGCAGTGGTTCCTAACCTTTTCAACTCGCAACTCCCTTGACTTACAGGCTGTGGCTCCCCTTGCTTGGAGGGGCCATCAGCAGCAGGTGAAGTTCTGCATGCCTCAGGCAGCTTTCTTGGTTAAGGTGGAGCCTCCTGGAGTTCTCCCACTGGTGGCAGGGGACAAAGTTCATCCTCCTTGGGGTTGCCTCCAGCCACGGCACCTTGCAAGCAGGCAGAGCCAGAAAGGGCAGCTCTCACCCCTACCTGTCATCACCCCATGTGGCTCAGGCCCTTCGCCTGCTGCACAAGGCAAGTGGAGGGGTGTGGGGCTGGCCCAGGTCATGTCTTGTAAGGCCAGTGGCGTGGGTGGGGGACCTACCTTCCTCCCACAAGTCCCTGCTGATTGACAGTCCACGGAGCCGGGCTGGGCAGAGCCACTGGATGGGATCAGGGACAGGAAGCTGTGAGGACAGCCGGGCAAGACAAGGCAAACAGACAGCTCAGGAGAGAGCCCAGCCTGCCCACAAGTGAGCAGCCGAGATGGTGCCAGCACCAGCCAGGCCAAAGCAGTGCAGACCATGTAGGCAGTTGGGATCAGGACCATCAAGCGCTGCAACTGGGGGACAAAATCCTTGCTCTATGTTCCTTCCTCTTTCCTGCAGTGCCCCTTTCTAAGTTTGGTGGCCACAGCACACACTCTGGGAACCACTGGTGCATTAGAACAGGCTTCTCATTGGAGTGTGCTCTCTCACACAATTGCCAATAGTAGGACTGCTCCCCTACACATTTCTGACCAACTGGAAAGAAGGGAAGGTGGGTCTTTAGAAAGATGGGGACAAAGCCAGAATTACTTGGACCTGGTTCTGCCTACTATTGGCTCTGGCTCTCTTTCGTGCTTTCTTTGTCTGCAACCACATTTTATACCATTCCTCCACTCAGTGCCTACCCTGATCAGAATTAACTGACCGCTTTCAATGTGGCTTGCTTCCAAGGAAGTGCGCACAGCACTGCAGCCAAAATTTCCTAATTCTGGTACTATATCTTGTGTCATCAAATGATACAACAAGCAGTTTTGGCTACTAACCATCTTCAATGGTCCCCGCTTTGGCATCCTTTTTCTTATTCTTCTTTTTGGCAGCTTTCTGAAAGGGTGCAAATTCCACTATGGCAGGATATTCTAGACCTGTCCAGATGCAAAATTTTCAAAAACCAGAAATTATATTAATAAGAAAAGCAAAGGTTACTCTTTAATTGCAGTATTTCTCAAAAGCAAGCTCTAACCAAAACAATATTTTGAGAGTTCAGTTTCACACCATTCCACACAATCTTGTTGCTTAGCACAGTAAATTGCACCAAAGCAGACCCATTGAATCAATGAAAATTTGGTGAGTTAACTCTTTAAATCCCACAGTAAGTTACAATTAAAGTAGGTCCTTTGAATCAATGGAACTTACAGAGGAGTCATATCACCAAATCCCCATTGGTTCAATGGGCCTACCTTAGTGCAATTTATTATGCTAAGTAACAGGATTCTGGCCAGTATCTTTCTTACCCATATGAGCTTTTCACCTAGGCTTCCTACAGCAGCACCTGGAAAACATATTGCTATAATTAGGAGGTACTGCTACCAAGAATGAGGACTGGTTGACTGGATCCCATATTACAACAGAACTGCAATGTTATTTAAGTCTTTTATAAACATACAGTAAAATCAACTTTTATAATTAGCACAAAAATATAGTTTTGATCATATTAATGCACACATAAAATGGTATCTGAATATATTGTTTCTGAAAAACAGGCTACTTTAGTATAAATGGCACAAAAAGAAAATCTGACATGAAAAATGGTAAGGAAACAAAATAATATAAATAAAATGATCTTGTAGTGTCACTCCAGCAGTTGCTGCTCCAGTAGTGTTCATAAATATCAAGTCATTCAATTCTGTCTTACTTGCCACAAGAATGAAATTCCCTATCAAGATTATAATTCTGGATTTTTTTAGTGCGAGTTCCAGGCCCTGCTTTCTCAGCATAAAAAAACCCTAGACTTTCGGAAATGCACAGCAAATTACTTATCTAAAACTGATGAAGCATTATTTAGAAAAGGTGTATTAAGGATTAGGTTAACACACAGCAATTCTAAGCAAATTTGTCTCCAAATTAATACTGCTAAAATAAATTATATTTTCTTCTAAATAATCATGCACAGACTTGGCCAATAATCCCTTCTTTAGAAATTTAAATTCAAACATAGTACATAACTGGTCAAAAATTAGTTTATCACATAAATACCTGCAAAAATATTTTAAAAACTGAGATATGATATATATGTATATATACACACATAAGCATACACAGAAAGAACCAAGTTTTAGGCTTACTTGCCTTTGTGATCAACAAAAACATAACCATCAAAGCGATCCCTGAACAGAACTATATCTTCTTGGTTTTTAAAGTTGATGTATGCTCTGGAAAACATGTGAGGGTACAAACTGCAGAAGGACAGAAAATGGCAATGTATAAGGAAACGCTGCTGAGTGATGGTTGTAAATATACAAAACACAGACAGGTGTAAAACTGAAAGACACAAATGACATGCCGTTGTTACATGCAATACAACAAAATATGAAAAATTTCTCTTACCTGGAATCATTAGCAAAGAATTCAAAATAGTCATGTTCAGGCAAAGGCTGAAGATGTTCTTCAAGTTGTTCCTTAGTCAAACTGGGAGGCAGACGTCGAATCACTACCTTAAAGAAAAAGTTTCGATTTTTACAAACAGGTCATTTTACCAAAAGCATTTAATTTTTTTAAATTCCCAAACAAAGGAGAACCTTAGAGGAAAGCATTGTCTACATCCTCCCTACCCTTGATTTCATGACAAATGCTAACTTCCCAGATATCAGAATCTAATACCTAAAGGTTTATTTATTCTTCCCAAGGAACATAGTTGACTAGTACAATCAGTAACAGTCAGTTTGAATTCTTATTTCCACATATGTTTTGTTACACTAGTGATTTCCTTCCAATTATAGAATGCATGCCTTGCCTGTGTACAAAAGACCACAAATTCAATGGCTGACTTCTCTAGGTGGATTAAGAAAAGAAACCTTGATGGGATGCTATTGTTATCTCATGTAAGCAAAACAGAAACAGACTGATCTGTGAGCTGATTTAAAGCAGCTTCCTTATGCAAGTTTTCAATTAGTCTTCCATTTCTCATTCATGACCATTATTCCCACATTTGTGTGTGTTCTGTCAAGTCAGAACTGACTCATAGCAACCCTCATAGTGCTTTCAAGGCAAGTGAGATATTTTAAGGAGTGGTTTTACCAGTGCCACTGAGTTTCCATGGCCAAATGGGGCTTCGAACCCTGTTTTCCAAAGTCCTAGTCCATCACTTTATCTACTATAACACACCGGGAATCCCATTCTAATATTTAGTAAGATACACTTTTTGCTGCTACCAATAGGCATTGGATAAAAATGTTTATTGATCAGGGCCAACATTCCATAATAAAGAGAACACGTATGGCCTTCTAAGTCTTGTTTGAGTACAAATCATATTCCTGAGCACCAGCCATACTGACTAGAATTGATGGGAACTGCAGTCCAACAACATTTGGAGGGAGCAATTCCTCCAGGCAATCTAAAACTTCCTACAAAACACAGACACACTAAACATGGATATTTGATACCAAGGATTGTGTGATTTTGAAACACTGGCCATTCCTGCTTTTCAGAGCAACTTTTTCTTGTTTAAGCAAAGACTGATTTGGAGCTATACCAAGACACCTCTTAACCAAGAAGGTCCTACACTCAGATGCTGCTACACAGCCTGTATAACTCTGCATTATCTGCCTGGCAGGAGCCCTCCAGAATTTTTAGACACTTGCCTAACCCTACCTAGGTGCTTGCAAATCACATGCTCCAAAATCCAGAGCTTGCTGCTTGGGGGCAACTGTCGCTTCATCCTCAACACTGAGGCGTGGCAAACAAGGTGCTGTTGAGGCCAGTTTATTTAACTAGCCAAATTTAACCAGTAAGGCCCTTTTAAAGTGTACACTCTTAAGATAGCAGGAGGCACGTTTGCATGTCAAATCCTCCCTCCCCTCCACTACCCCACAACCAATAAAACTCTAAACCAGCACAAGCTTAGTGTATATATAAGGAGGAGGCAGATCCGGCCTCGACCCAGCCGTCTTTCAGGTGCTGTGAAAAACCCAAACCAAAAAAGGGGCACCTCCAAGCCGCCCCCCCCCCGCTCCTTGTCAG